AAACCAAACCAAACCAAACCAAACCAAACCAAACCAAACCAAACCAAACAACCAAACAAGAAAAACCATTACTTTTGTTTACTTTTTCCCAGGGGCTCCAAAATTGGGAATAATGAGATTTAATTCATGGAGCTTTGATTTCATATTTGTCTTATACCTTATTCATTAAAACTAAAGCCAGTATAGTCAAAATAGGTTGCCTTTAAGATTAGCTGTCTTCTATTAATCATGATAATATAAAATATTAAAATATAAAAGCATAGAGAGGTAGTGCTTGCAAGTCTTGAAAAGAAAAGCATTTCTTGAGTTTGTTGTTTTGAGCATTTCTTGGGAAAAAAAAAATTCTGTTGTTGTTTTGAGACAAGGTTTCTCTGTGTAATCCTGGCTGTCCTGGAACACTCTGTGTAGACAAGGCTGGCCTTGAACTAGCTTTGCAATGCTAGCTATTATTTCCGTGTTTTGTTTCCCCCAGCCAATTAACTACCACAAACAGGGAGGGGAGTGTGGCCTCTCCTCAACTACAGACTTCCAGAAAAGAACTTAAGACTATTTTCAGAGCTTCTTTCTGTGTGGTATTTTGCAGGTAGGAAGTTTTAAGAGAGAAATGACCTTCACATTTCAATCAGAGGACTTAAAACGTGACTCCAGCAAGAAGATATCTCATCACTTGTTCCCATTGGCCATGGAGGAAGACATGAAAACAGTGGATACCAAAAAAGCCAACCGGATCCTAGACCAGGAAAAAGAAAACACTCGATCCGTTTGCCTTCTCGAGCAGAAGCGGAAAGTGGTTTCCTCCAATATCGATGTTCCTCCAGCAAGGTAAGGACAATCTGTCTCATTCGGTTCCTGCTCCTGCAGGAAATGGGGGGGGAGAACAGGTCCACCCATCTTGTCTCTGTTGCGCAGGGTCCAAACAGAGCAAGAGTTGCCTGTCAGGTTCTCTCTGCTCCTTTGACTTTGAAGCTGCCATAGTTGAAACTTACTGTAGGAAAAAGTAAATGCGAAAACATTAACAGAATGAAATGGGCTGTGTAAGGTTGAAGGCACTTGAAGGCAAATGTGCTCAGATCCTAGGTGAGGGCGTAGCAAATTATGACCGTAAGCTAATTAGCCCTGGCTTCATTCTGTTCGGATTATGAGACGAGAGTTTAACAATTCAGACAGTTAAAAGAAAGGGCGACGATGTGACAGGCCTTTGGTGACCTGCAAAGCCTTCAGTGTGTAAAAGTGCTTAGTGATGTCTAGTTGATGTCATGTGCATCTTTTCAAGATCTATCTGGGCAAGGGAGATGGCTCACGGGGTAGAGTGCTCTCCCAGGAATCATAAGGGCCGAGTTCCAGTCCCCAGAGGCCGGGTAAAGTTGGCTTCGGGGCTGTGCACATCTGTAATGCTGGTTCTCCCACGGTGCGATTGAGAATTGCCAGAAGTTCATGGGCAGCTAGCCTGGTGTGTGTATCAGTGAACATCAGAGAAGCCTTGTTTCAAGTAAGGTAGAAGGGGAGGCCCTTCTACCCTACCACAACGCTCAGGTTGTGTCCTGAGTTTACACTCACCCTGCGGCACGCGCATGCACAAATGTACACCTGGACCATCTCCTCCTTCACTCCTCCCAGCCCCCGCCCCCCATCTCCCCCTTCTTTCAACTCTTACCTAGTAGTGCTGAAGGGTAGGTACTCTTATGGCAGAATGGAAGCCGAGTAGAGTGTACATACATGACCTGCCACTCCTCTTCCTGATATTCTATGAGGCCCTATGTAGAAGCCCCCCCCCCCACGCCCCAGGCACAGGGCTTGGAGTCCTCTGGTTCCTGCTGTCTCTGGACTAGAACAGTGCCCAGCGCCCTTGCTTCTAGAGGGTCTATGAGCACCTGGAAGATGAGGAGGAGTCCCCTGTCTTACAGCAGACAGATTGCTTATTTTTTAATGCCAGAAACGATTATCGCGGAGCTCTGTAAGCTATTGCTTGGGAAGTCTTGTGATCGCTGACAGCCCCAGAGGAGAACAGTACCTGGTGGGCCAGGAATGAGTGACCCTTTCCCACCTGCTCATGGTTAGGAAATTAGCATTTCCATTGTTTTCTATATTAAATAGAGGGAATATCTTCTCTAGGAAATTACATGTTACTCTATCTGGCTGCCAAATTGTCATGCTTTCTAAAATTACAGGCCTCTTTGTTTCCTTCAACCTCTGCTTGCCAATTTTGTATATCTCTTACTTCAGTTCAACTGTTTGTTACTATTTGCTCTTGTATGATTTTTGTATGAAATGCTTAATTAAGTTATTAAGGATTAGTTTCTTCCGTGCCTTCATTGTGAAGTTTTTATAGTGCCCTGAAGCAGGTACACACGTTAGTTTAGCTCATGGGTGTCGTTTGGCTGACTCATAGGACAAACGGCATGCTGGCAACGGGGAACGAGAAGAGCTGTGCTTTTATGTTCTTTCCAGGCCTGTCAGAAGAAAAGTGTCTGAGGGCTCCATGCTGACATGCCGTTCTGTAGGACCGACTGTGCAAACCATTTCCCCGTGGAGTCTTTCACACGTAATAAAAGACCTAGAATTAGTTCATGTTCTCATAGATTGTTGAAGGCTCCACCTTCCGTTTGGTTTTACCCCAGCTCTCACATAGCTCAGGCTGGCCCAGTACTCACTGGGTAGCAAAATATGACCCTGAGCTTCCAGGCCCCCCCTCCTCCTACGAGTAGATTATAGGTGTGTGCCGCCATGCCTAGTTTATGCCATGCTGGGAAAAGAACCCAGGCTCTGTGCATCCTAGACAAGCACTCTACCCACCAGCCCCCCCGCCCCCCCCAGATTTAACTTGATTTTACCCCTGGTACCTTGGGAAGGAAAATGTCTTCTGCTTTTCTTTTGTCTAATGCTGGGCTGCAGACTGTTTCCTTCTTTATCGTTATTAGCTATACACCACAGCGTACCACTCAAGCCAGTGTAGGGAGAAATTAATTACGTCTTAACTCATCAATATATGGAAAAGAATTCCCCATCGACAGGGTATAATTTAGATGAATTAATGTGCCTCGAGAAGTGCTGCTTCAAGTGTCGTTGTCCAGCCTCTGCGCCCACACACTTGTTTTCACTGTCGCAGTAAAAAATGTAATCATCACAAACACGCTAACCCTCGGTGAAACAAATTGCTTTTTTAATTAAATAGTCATGAAGGAATCACGTTACGCAGAATAATCTAATTCTCAGACGTTTTCTTCTGTTTGTTTACAGTCATTAGGTTATTTAGGAAGGGCCAACTTTTGATTGAGTAGATGGATATCTTGTTGTAAGGAAACTTTGAATCACATCGGAGAAAGGACAATTATAGACAATTATAGCCGTCAGCCGTATCTGTTGATATTTGAGTGAATCTGGAGTGTGGTGAAATGCATTAGAATGAGGAAGTCTGTATCAGTTATTAAATATGACCTATAATTAACGTGTATGTGTAACCCACACATGTATGTCTCATCCACACAAGTTTCTATCACTTACTCTTGTAATTCCAGACTTTGTGGTTTGGGTACTCCATAGAGGCAGGTGATTAGTTTAGGCTGTAGTATCAGTGGTGCAGAGTTCCTGGGCAAGTTAAAATTACCTGTAGTGATTCTTACTGACTCTTTTCCTTACTTCCTGTAGTTTACAAGAATGAAACTTGAAGTGTTGTTACCTATGGTTCGTACAGTAAAAACAGTGTTTGTTAATTGCTTTTCCATATCTTCGGGGAGATCTGGGAATCTTGTCCCACCTTGATCTCTGTGACCGACCATCGGATTCCCTGATTTCAAGTCTTGTCTTTATCACCAGGTTATCTATTGAGTCCTTGCTACCAGTGACCTAGAACTTGTTAAACACATGAGTGGGAGAGGTGCTTCCCTCCAGAAGCTTACAGCACAGTCAGATAGATGGACACATAAACAGCCAAGTCCAAGAAACTATTTAGTGTAGTCTGCCTTCTCATCAGAACTGGGTGAATTTATAAGTAAAGGGAATGCTTTACTATTAGGAGAGTGATTAAATTGATACACCCATTTAAAAGCCTGATTTGTTGTTGTTGCTTTTAGTATCCCTTTGAAGATACAGAAGAATGAAGTAGACAAGGAAAAACTTCAAACCTGAGAGTTTAATGTACAATTTTTGTGTGTGTTTAACTTTTTAAATTTTTTATTGCAATTTATTCATTTTGTATTCCAGCTATAGCCCCCTCCTTGGCTCCTCCCAATCCCTCCCTCCCTCCCTCTTTTCCTCCCATGCCCCTTCCTGAGAGTCCACTGATAGGGGAGGTCCTCCTCCCCTTCCATCTGACCCTAACCTATCAGGTGTCATCAGGACTGTCTGCATTCTCTTCCACTGTGACCTAGTAAGGCTGCTTCCCTCAGGGAGTGATCAAAGAGCCAGGCACTGAGTGCCTGTCAGAAACAGTCCCTGTTCCCCTTACTAGGGAACCTACTTGGACACTGACCTGCCATGGGCTACATCTGTGCAGGGGTTCTAAGTTACCTCCATGCATGGTCCTTGGTTGGAGTATCAGTCTCAGAAAAGAACCCATGGTCCAGATTTTTTGGTTCTGTTGCTCTCCTTGTAGAGCTCCTGTGCCCTCCAGGTCTTTCTATCTCCCCTTTCTTTCATGAGATTCCCTGCATTCTTCCCAAAGTTTGGCTATGAGTCTCAGCATCTGCTTTGACACCCTGCTGGGTAGAATCTTTCAGAGGTTCTTTGTGGTAGACTCCTGACCTGTTCCCTGTTTTCTCCCTCTTCTGATGTCCATCTCGTTTGCCTTTCTGAATGAGGATTGATCATTTACCCAGGGTCCTCCTCCTTCCTTAGCTTCTTTAGGTGTACAGATTTTAGTATGATTATCCTATATTATATGTCAAGATCCAGCTATACCATTCCTAGGCATATATCCAAAAGGTGCTCAAGTATACAACAAGGACATATGCCCAGCCATGTTCATTGCAGCTTTATTCATAATAGCCAGAATCTGGAAACAACCCAGATGTCCCTCAACAGAAGAATGTATGCAGAAATTGTGGTACATTTACACAATGGAATACTACTCAGCAATTAAAAACAAGGAAATCATGAAATTTGCAGGCAAATGGTGGGAACTAGAAAAGATCATCCTGAGTGAGGTATCCCAGAAGCAGAAAGAAACACATGGTATATACGCACTCGTAAGTGGATAAATGTACAATTTTTTATAAAATGCAGTTTTCCAGGAGCCCGTTTGAAAGTTGCTGGCTTTAGAAAGTATAAATTTATTACCCCAGACATGCTAGGCTTGGCCATCTGAGAGCCAAGAGCCCAGACAGAATTAAGCATGCAAGCAATGCATACAGAAATGCTGTGGGAAGGCAGGGGGTGGAGGAAGCAGGGCAGTGCAAGGCTGGACTGCTAGGGAGGAAGAACAAGGAGAGTGGCAAGTGCAGCGGATGCTTTTGAAGCCTAACTCTGGCCCTGGAACTGGTCAACACTGTTCTGTGGCTGCCTCTCCTGCTGGAAACATTGTTCTGAGTGTTCTCTGCCCTGAGGCTGGAGCAGGGGCTGCTCTCTCTGGCAGCCAGGAATGTCAGTGCAGGCCCCTTGCAGGGCTTCTTAATGTTAGCGACTATGAACAAAGGCAGTAATGGCTGTTGCTTCAAGTGTCCCAAGGGTCATGCTTTTGAGTAAGGAGAGGAAACACATCTCGCTTTTGAGCCACCTGGAGTGGGTAGAGGTGCCAGGAGAGTCCCCTTGCTGTGGGGCCCCACCAGTGTGGGCTGATTGGTTTCAGGAAAAAAGCTCAGTTTCTTTGGGAGGACTGGTAAGGAGGG